CGATGACGCAACAGTATTATTTATCTGCAGTATAGTTATAATGCTAGATTGACGTCCTTCAAATTATTGTTTTTCTCAGTGACCAAGGGTCTGTTGTTTTAGACAATGAGGTATCTGCACTCTGTCATCCACGGGGAATCGAATCTTGGATTTTATCATTGTAGGTCCTTAAACTTATCGCTGACCCACAGGGGAACATTATACTGCGATATGCATTATATCTTCTTTTTTTAAAAAAATTAAAAGCAATATTTTATTTTTCTAGATTAAACTGTGAATTTGATTTATCACAAGAGAGTTTTATGCAATTGATTCAAAATTACAGATCACCAGGAAAAGTTAATAAAATGGCAAAGTTATCGACAATATTAAGACTGAACAAAAACGGTTTATAATATTTAGTATTGCAGTCTGGTTATGCTAAGCATAATTTTAGTCGAGTTCTAATTAATATAGTGTAATTATCGAGAATTATAATCTTTTAACACTGACTTAAGTGTTAGATAGGGCGACTTTAGGATGACGTTTCTCTGGCCTGAGAAGAAATACGTGAAATATCATAATTAATGTAGACCACTCTCCTACAAATCTTTCAATTAACATCAACTTGACCAGCATGTTTTTTGTGAAACATGATATTGGTCAACGTACAAACTAATAATAAGATTTCAGTATCTATGTTTAATTAGCTTATAAACCACAAATAATAACAATACAAAATTCTCGTGCATGCATGGAGTGTTTGACAGAGATTGATGCCCCTAAGTCTAACATTTGGTGGTTAACTATTAAACTTGCATATTATTTTAGAATTTACTTAAATATTGTTACGTCTCCGTTCGTTCGTTAATTTTCCGTAAATTCGTTCCGACGAAACTTTAGCGACACAAGTCCTTTCTTAAATAAAACTGGTTTATTCTTTCCGAATACAACTTTACGATACACTTAATTTCAACAGTCGCTCTATAACAAACGCTATAACTCACGTCTCACGTGGCCAACAATATTCTGTCCGCATACATTCAATTACTCATTACCTCCCTGTCGCTTCGTGGCCGGTCTTATATATACAAGACTACACTATATCTAGAAGGATCACGAGATTTAAGGAAAGGACGTGAATGTTCGAGAACGACGTGGCGTGATACTAGTCACGTGACCTCGATGTCCAACAATATAATATTCGGCTTAGCTAACTTAGTTACTGATAAGCAATGTTCGCAATATGATTGCTGTAATCATCATATGACTGTTCAGGATGGCTCTCTTTACCCATTAGTAAAGGAACCTACCAGAAACAATGCTATTTTATATTTATTGTTAATTTCAAATATAGAAATGATCGAGAGGGTGGAAATTGGGGAACATCTGGGTGCAAGTGATCATTGCTCTATTAGGTTCAATGTTTTGCTGCATATGGAGATAAGGAATAATGATATTTTGGTTACAAATTTCAAAAAAGCAAATTTTGAAGGGAATGCGACAAGAGTTATTTGGAGACACTGATCAGATGTGGAAAATTTTTAAATATTCAATGTAAACATATTCCTAATAAAAAGAAAAAGGTAGCTACAAGTAAAAAAACCAGGTTGGCTCACAAAGAGTTTAAGAAATAAAATTAAAGAAAAGCATCATAAATTTAAGAAATTTAAATTGACTGGTACTTAGAAGATCAAGCAAGTTGGTGAAACAGGAAATTAGGATATCAAAAAGGATGTATGAGAAAAAGTTGGCTGAAAATGTAAAAATTAACAGTAAAAATTTCTTTAAATACATTATCAAGAGGGAAAAAAAAATGATAGGATAGGGATGATAAAGGAAGGCTAGTATCTGATGATTATGAGATGGCTGGGTTATTAAATTTTACTTTTTCTTCAGTTTTACTAATGAAGATTTAAACAGTATTCCACATCTTGATCAGTTGATAAATGGAAATGAGATCAAACAAGATGACTGCATTAATTCTGAGCTGGTTAAGAAAAAAATGAGAAGTTTAAAAAATGATAAAGCTCCTGGGCCAGATAATATTTCCCCAAGGGTTTTGAATGAGGTTAAAGATTGGATATGTGAACCACTTACTACTGTTTTTTGTCAGTCCTTGAATAGCGAGCAGGTACCAGAGGATTGGAAGTTAACTAATGTAACTCCTCATTTCAAGGGAGGTAATAATAATTGCCTCAGTAATTATATGCCCAATAGTCTTACATCA